AAGAGGTTTGGTTATACCACTAAACTCAATTAGCTTATTACAAAAAATGTTTAATAGCAATAAATAATATTTTAAGAACAAATTTTATAATATAATTTTTTATACTTATTGAACTTTCATATATCATTTAATGTGAATTATAATTGTTTAGTTTTAGTAATACCTATTAAGTAATAGAATAATTAAAAATATAATTATATTTTAATTATTTATTTTATTAAAAAAATCATTGATTAAGTTATTGGTTTTTACTTTTTTTTAAAAAATATATTAGATTGTAACGGAAAAAAGGTGGAAAATTCAAATAGTTTTATTAATTTTTGTGTTAGCAATTATATGTAACTAATAAGTTGTTTAATGTTTTAGTTAAAAGAAAAAAAAAAATAAAGTAAACATGTATTTGTAACGTTTTTTTGAGGAAAAACAAATGAAGTTTTATTAATTGTTTTGCTAGCAATTACGTACATATAGAAGTGCACTAAAATGAGAATAAAATACAATGAAAGAAATAAGAATGATTCTGGATCACTGAATCCATCACATCAATTGCCGTGATCAAGTCAAACTTTAATAAACAATGGTCAATCATTAATAGTAATATAGCAAATAAGTAGTAATATAAAGGTCAAATATATGTATTTGACTACTAATTAAAGGTAAATTGGTCACTATAAATAATGTACTCATCTAGTGAGACCCATATCCACCTCCCCCCAACTCACCCATCGTCACCTACCAGGCTACCCAATCCACACTCGCTCACACACAACACATATTCACCTTATCACCTAACCCTTCCCTCCTCTTTCACACATAACACACACTCATTTTACATAAACACACACACACACACACACACACTCGCCGGTGGCCACCACCATACGACCTCATACCGGCAACCACCCAGCGCCGACCACCGCCACATACCACATCGTTGGTAAGATCCACCAGCCCCGTCGTCGGTCACCGTCTATTAGCACGCACACACAGTCACAGCAAAAACACACACACACACACACACACACACACACACACACTCTCTAAGACCGCCGACAACCAATATCACCGGCAGCGCGCAGCCCTAGACCGCCGGTTGTTGACACCATAGCCCGCCGCCACCATCATCTCCGGCTGTCCGTCGTCGTCTCTATTGCCTGTCGCCGCCATCATCTCCAGGAGTCCCCGCATCCAACCTTCGATCCACGCGGTTCGTATGGCGTCCGTAGCCAATTACTCCGTCGTCTTTACTGTTGCCACCGCCATTTGCCCTGTAGCTGCCACCATTCGCCGTCGGGTTCATCCGGATCCTGGCCGCCTTAACCATCTTCCTTGCCCTCGCCATGTTGAACTTACGATTTTCGGCGAGCAGGATGATCGAAACCGCTGTCAGGCGATGGTTTTCGTCGTTGGCACCGCCACGTCGGTTAGCGGCAAAGCTTTCGGAGTCTGCCAAAAAAAAAAGAGCTACACGCCAGAGTCGTGACGATGACCAGCTGCACGGCGGTTGTCAGCGAGTGTGACGGAGTTGAGAGCCATCATGTAGGTTGCGGCTGAACAGTGAAAATGACGAATGAGGTTTGGGGACATGTTCTGAAAATTTTATATGGATAGGGGAGTGATGTGCAATTTTTTATCTGTTAATATATATGTGTTTTAGCTCATGTAGCAAATGTGTAATTTAAGAGAGATTAATAAATGCACAATAATAATGCATAGGATGCACAATATTATGTAAATAATTATTCATTGGTTGACATTGATATTTGAGTATTTTTTATTTCATAATTTATGTTCTATTTTGTGCAAAATAATCGAAATTTTAAATGTAAAAACAGATAATCGAATCGACATTCAAAAAATTTGAGTCGAATATTTTAGACCGGACAATTTAGGCCGCTATTATGCAGTCAATCGAACATTAATGTTTGATATTGTGTAATATGATTGTCATTAGAGTGCAATTTGTTTAACACTTTTGTGCACTCATAGCACAAGCATTTTAATGATTTGTTTCAAACAAAATAAAACCCAACTGTAATAATCGATTAACCGAATAACCCTAAATAATTAAAATAATTTATTACTTATATTATAAAGATATATTTAATATTTTACTATGTATATTGAATATTATATATTATTTATGGTTGAAATGACATACATATAAAATACGAAATGACATATATACGAATTGGTTGAAATGACATACCACTCAATGTGAGTCTTATGTACACATCTATGTACGATATTATGTACCTATAATATTTCTCATATATATTATATACAATGACCAAGCATATTCGAATGATTAGATTTTAAATAATTAATTTTTTTTCAAATTATAAGTATAAAATCTACTTTTCATATATTTAATATATACTTCTATAATATATAATTATTTATTTATATATATGACGTACGTAATTTTAACAAATAAAAAACTAATACATGTAACATGTAATAGTTAATAAATATAAAAATTATAAAATCGTGTGATATACCATGATTCCAATTAGTTCAACTGGGTTCGAGTTGATTTATAAACCACGGGGGTATAAAATCACTGTCGAACCGCCTGACCCGACCGATAAAGTCGTCAAACCAGATCTAATTCATCCGACCCAATGGCTTCAATCACGAGCTTCAGGGAGTGATGCATTGGTGAGCCAATGTCACCCTTTAAAACGACAGCTCTTTTTCTTTGTTTTTCCAATGTGGGAGCTTTTGTCTTGTATAATGCTTTATTAATTTTTTGTTGCCTTTTGCCTTTAAAAACCCAACACTGTTAGTAGTTTGGTACGGATGTATACATCAACTTATTTTATGTTCTTTTATAATTTCAAATGTATCAATAATTTAATATATGTGTTAGTAATTTGTAGATACTTTGATAAATGAAAGAAAAAACTGAAAAGAATAAAAAACATAAAATTTGATATAAAAATTAAAATATAAATTAATTGTATCTATTCTCTCTATTCTATAACTTAAATATAGATCAAAATATAAAAATAAATTGTAAACATTATTCAACATTGTCGATTGTATCTATTATTGAACTCTTATTTAGAGAAATATTATTATACACTATATAATTAATAATAAAACTATATACAATCATAATATTATACATATAAAATAAATAAAAATTACATATTAATTAAACCAGTTTGACTGGTTTGACCACTGGTCCGACCAGTTAACCATAGCTTTACTGTTCGGTTTTGAAAACATTGTCATGTACATTGATATAGCCTAGTGGTGAGAGTCACTTTGGGAACCAATATATCATGGGTTCAAATGCCACTATAATTAATTTAAAATAAAATAATTATTTGTTTGTATGTTGGTGTTTAAATGACGAACATTTGAATTTGTCATATAAATATATATTTAGATGACGAAAATTCAATTGTAGAAATGACAAGTTCGTCACTATAGGTTAATATTTAGATGAAAAATATAAATTCGTCATTTAAATTCTATATTTTAGTGACAATTTAAGTATTTCAATGGCGAAATTTCAACAATAAAAGGGACAAGGTCGACGTCACTAAAACTAATTTTTTAGTGACAAATCGTAATAATTTTGTGACGCAACTACGCTGACGAACGATGCGATGATAATATTCCGTTACTATTTACTTTTAGGTATTTTTATGATGAATATATTTGTCATAAAATATCAAATTTTTTGTAGTGAAATTTGTCAACTGTTAATAAACCTTTTTCTTTGGTAGATTATGATATTTGGGGTCTTCCCATGTTGCTTCTATATATATATGAATAGTAACGGTTAATAAACCTTTTTCTTTGGTAGATTATGATATTTGGGGTCTTCCCATGTTGCTTCTATATTGATAAGGTCCGAGATGAGTGACTCCGGTCTTTCAAAGGGTTCTTCACGATTGCGGCGTAAGTGCGTTTAATTCGGTCCAGTCCAAGCTTGAATGTTCACCGGTACCTGCAAATACGCCGGAATTGCTCCGGCACAAGACCCTCCGACGCCCAAGTCAATATTTCGGAATGAGAGAGTTTTTGTGTATTGAATGTAGCAGTAACAGTAATAAATGATGTCTTACCTTCCAACCATCGAACTTACTCTTTATATAGGATTTAGTTGTATGACTATTCTTTCGGGGCTACGAGTCCCTAAGTGCCCGTCGACCAAACGACTAACGCGCCTTGACTCGGAGGTCGACTTTCGGCCCTTTGGATCGATCCGCACCGATCGAGTCCTGCTCTACTCACCGGTCGAAACTCCCTTGACCCTTCGACCCAGTCGGCCCTCGACCGAATCTCCCTCGCCGGTCGGTGCTAAATCGACCCTCGGCCCGGTCTCCTTCTGTGGTCGATACTATGGTCGAACGTCGACCACTCGGGCCGGTCGACCCCTATGTCCTTCGGCTCGGTTTGGCCTTGTGGCTATTATCCTTATCATATATATATATGAATAGTTTTCGATACTTTTGTTATTTTTGTTGATGATTTTTTTTGCGTTTTACTTCGGTCTATTTTTTCAAAAATTGTTATGAATTACTCACTCTTACAGCTGTTGTTATTTTTGAATATCCTAAAATGATTCACACGTAATTCTCGTGTTGTATAAAATATCCCCACTCTTACTTTTATGGAATTGTTTACACATTGTATATTTTATTCCTAAAAGTGGAAATGGTGCCAGCTGTATAATTGATAGTAATATGAGTATATTTTGAAATTCATGTCATATAATCATAAAAAGATATGACGATGAGATATATACTAATATATGTTGCAATTATATAATGATTTATATGATCATAATTGAAAATAAAAATGAGTTCATGTCTTATTCATTTTGATATATTTATTAATTTTATTACATATTTAGATTTTTAATCAAAATAATATTTAAATCATTTTAATACTCTCTTATTAATTTTTTTAAAAAGAAAATTAATTAAACTCTTGCATAATTATATAACTCATATGAATTAATTTCCTCATTTAATTTAATTTTTAAGTATAGTTAATATTTTTGTCATAAATATGGAAAATATAGATTATAAAAAATAATATTATAGTTCACATATTTATGTCAAAAAGTAAAGTTATTGGAATTTCCATTGAGAAGTTAAATAAAAAAACGAGCCATAAATTGAGAATAACCTAAAATGTAAATCTTCTATTGAGAAAGAATAAAATTCAAGCTTTAAATTGATATAACTTAAAAAGTTGGGTCTTGTAATGGAAGTTTCAACAATACCATCAATATAGTTAATTAATATCAATCAATCATCAGAATCCTAACAGATGACATTAACTTTAAGTAACTATTTTTCACATTTTTTAGTTAATTATCTATCATTTCTAATAACATCTCTCATACTTTTACATTACTAACATTTGTAATCATTACATTTTAAATACAAAATCAAAATTCAATTAAATCCTCCACTAATCAAGTTATTTAAACTCACTTTAACTAAATAATCTAATCAAAACCAGCTTTAATAATATTTAATTGCCCACTTTCCACAAGTTATTTTTCAAACACTCCTTTTAGTTAATATTTTCAGTGTTTTAAATACCGTACCGGTGGTCATACCGATCTAGCCACTGATACGCGATATTACCGGTAGGACCGGTAATATCGGTGGTATTACCGGACTAACAAATATAATGATATATATAAATATACATAAAAATATATAATATCAAATGCAAAAAAGTAAGAAAATAAATGACCATAATCATTAATTTCAACTTCTCAATGAGATAAAAATAAAACATTTAACTACCATATTAAATTTTATATTTTTAAATTATTTTTTTTTATTATTGACCGGTATTTTGGACCGGTATTTACGGTACGATTCCGGTACAAACCGGTGTAACCGTAAATCCGGTATTTTGAGTNATAATAATAATAATAAAATAGACATGAAAATAATAAAATAAAAAGAATAAAAATATTTATCAGCATATTTTATTTATAATATATATTTATATCACATTATTTTACATAAAAATAATGACTAGTATTATTATTTGTTTCATGTTAGTTACCGACGTTTTTACTTAACTACGAGCATCTACAATGTTTTGAGTCTAATTTTGCTTATGTGACGTAAATAAACTCTATTCTTGTACTATATAAAAGTAATACAATTCACTTAAATGCAAAGAGACAAGATCTTTACTTGTGTAGACCAGGTCACTTTTTGTTGCTGTTACATCAACAGAACCCAGCCATCTTATGTGAATTGAAGAACATACTTTTTTATACTGAGTCTATTTCTTATGTGACATGTTAATTTTTTGGAATGAACCCAAAGTTTTGTGAATGTTTTATTTATTGATAGAGCCATAGAGTTCATTCATTCAAGTAACTACTTTTCTTACATCCCATGCAGTTTCACATGTTGCCAGTCAAAACTGTGAATAAATAAAATAAAAACAGATTTTATAAGTATGCATAATGCATAGGAGTTGGACAAGCGCGAATCATGTTAGGAGTAGGTAGAAATCTTTTTCACCGGAGGTTGAAAACATGCGGCAGTCATTTGGATTGAATTGTTCGCTAACATAATTCGATTGGCCTTATGAACTACTAAAAATTGGTACATTAGTAATCAAAATTTGCTACTAAACTTTAGTTGTTACAATAGTAACAAAGATTTGGATACAGAATATACTTTCAGAAACGAAATGTACTTTAAAGAATTGTATTTGTATTAGTAACTAATTTTGTGACTAACTCTCGATGTTACAAATACATATAAATGGTTTCAAGTTAAGACTTAAAATTGTAGCATATTTTAATTTATATAATTTTAAAATAAAACATAAATATTTTATTTATCGTCTTTACAAGCCTCGAACATTAGAGCAAAGTTCATACAGATCTAGTTTGAGAAAAATGCTTGAAGTGGACTAAATGAGCTAAACGCAATACTCCACTTTCTTGCCTAAAAATTCAATTAGTAGATCACACTACAACAAAAAGGAGTTTTAACAATATAAATATGGGGACTTTTTTAATAAGTGTATTTAAAATTGATGTGTTTGTGACGCTCTTAAAAAACGTTACAAAGATAAAATCTTAACAAAGCGTTCGTGCTTAATAAGAGCTCATTCTTTTGTTAATCAAGTCGAGATCAAGAAAACTAGGTTCGTTTAATAATTGAACAAACTCAAGCTTGTTCGCAAATGTTCAATAATGTTCACGAACATTAATTAATAAATCGATTGTAATTGATTTATTATTTTTCTTTAAAAATTACAAGGTTATTTTTCTCATATGCTTGGATTTAATTAGAAAAATAACATAATTTATTAAAAACTACTATGCGATGGTGTAATAGTACGTCATTTTCTTTATATGAAATGTTATTCAAAGTTCATATATATACCATTTCATTTAAAATGCCACACAAATAAAAGGAGATACAATACTAAATTTTGAATACTCAGATATCATTTATTTGAAAATCAATAAATATATACATTAAATTGTGAACTCCATAAATTTGGTTATACACTAAATAAATAAAGTATTTAATCTTAATTTCTAAGCCATGCCCAGGCGCTCTAAGTGCTAGAGGCTGGTCAGATTGATTTTCCGATAAAATAAGATTAACAGAGGACTAACGGAATATAACATGATCAAAAATAAATTTTTTATTAATATAAATTTAACATTGTCGAAAAATTAAGGCTGCCTGGGGTGGCTTTGCCCTAGAAACATCTTTATTGAGCTGGTTTTGACCCATCAGTAGAGACCTGCAGCTTTGGCATCTTACAATCTTAAGTATAATAGCAAAAGGTAATAAATAAAAGACGAAGAGCAGACATAAAACGTAACTTGGTACACATGACATAGAATTATAACGACGACAATGTCGTTATTATAGATGTGGTCTCATGGTTTAATTGGTGCAGGTGAGATCGTTTTTATCACCCGTACAGTTTTTATACAAAAACTGGGCGCTGCCTTTAGATACACTGGGAACATTCTGTTGGAGTTGGCAAAGGCACTCGTGAGTTGTGCGTTTAATCATTATGCAGCAGTTGGCCGGCGGCGGCCGATTCGTCGTGGGATTGTCGAACGCTTTTTTGCACGGCAGGAAATCCTGCGCCGCGGGACAGCTTGCCACGTCATCAAGGAGCACGGCCACGAGTACCAAGCAGATGCACGCCACGGCTGCAGCACTTTTGTTGTCGGATTTCAT